TTCTGAATGGATGTAAAATCAGTCCCATGGAACACCTTCAGAGAACTTCCCCTATAGCTGTCCTTGGTCTTTTGCGGAGTGCAGATTCAAAGATGGTTCCATGCTGTAAATCTGGCCACGTGAATGAAAAGCTCGGTGGCTTTTCTGTTCAGAAAAATGAGAATTCAGGTGGCCTGCATCTTGCTATCAATTTGATGCGTTATATTCTTCAATAAAAACTTAAACATCTCCAGTTTATGCCAAGCTTTGTGCCCAGCAGTTTGTCTCCCTACAGCACTAACATTCCCATGGAGAAAAAATACTGCTTTTCATGGCTAAGTTGCTCTTGAAAGCTTAGTTTGGGTAGAAAACTCATTGATAATTAACTGTCCTGGGCCTAATTTTCTGCTGTGGGCTTGTCACTGGAAGAATTGGGCTGAGCACTTGTCCTTCTACCTCTGATCACGAGGGAAGGGTCAGCTCTGCTCACTGCCTTGGTCTCCATGGGTTCATCCTGCTGCACATCTGTATTTCAGATTAGGAAAGGTAAAATCCTGTGTCAACAACCAAGGTGTTCCAGTGGTTTTTTACTACACTATTAATTGCTTTTAGACAAAGGGAAAAAATCAGAAATGAAGGCATCCTTGAAGGTGTTTGTGATAAAAAAGAAGGATTAATACCTTTATTATAAAAGAGGCCCCGAGTGAAATGCTGTTTGTTTAATGTGCATTATGGCAGATGGGCTTGGGCTGCAGGGGAGATGCCAATAGCACAGCGAGCTGTAATTAGGGAAAATGTAGACTTGGTTCACAAACTTGCTCCCTGTGCTATCAGAACATTATCTAACATCTACTTTCTGTGTTTGAGTGGAGTTTTGCTGTTATGCAAGCACAGGAGGGTTAGCTGTCCTCTAGCTGCAAGTTGCATCTATCTCAGCCCTTCTCCATCTCTTCATCCTTTTTTTGTTGTTAGTTTTTCCTCATTGTTTTATCTGAAGGCAAAACACCTCAGAGTCAGGGTTTGGATGTTTCTTGTCTTGCTACAATTGTGGCAGAAGGGATTTTTCATTTTGGTAACTTGCTTGCCTAACTGGGCTTGGGAGTCCTGTAAGAATACACCGAGTTACCGTCCTTTAAAAATAGCTTTTTTCCTATCAAAAAGCTAAAACTGAAACCACCCTGTGGTTCAGTCTCAAAAGCAAATGACACAAACTTCTTGCCTCCATGTATTTTCCTTCTTCCTTGACATCCCTTTCTTGAGAGCCTAACTGAAGGCTTTAGGGTGGTGTTCATCCTGTTCAGATGGAGGGAAAGGGGAATGCTGAGTGCCAAGGTGCTGGAATTTGAGGGCAGTGACTGTTCTGGAGGTCTGATCACACGTGCCAGTCAGAGATTTTCCAGCTGGTTCTGACATCTTTGTGTGGGTTTTAGTGCAACTGTGCTAAACTGCTGAGCAGAATGACTGGTTAACCTGCAGGTCTCTTTTCTTATCACTGTAAATGCACTTTTGGTGGTGTTACATCCCTGGTTTTGAGTAACTTTTAATATAACAACTGATTTGTGGCAATGCCTGTGAAGGTTCTTCAATGACTAAGCCCATCAACAGGTTCCAGATGTGCACTGGGCCAGACTTGGGTCAGGTTGTTACACATCCAGATGGGGTAGAGGCTGTCACCCGGTGTGGAGATACAAATTGACATTACTGGTGTCAGTATTGGGGGAAAAAACTGCAGAAAATAAAGCTGCAGGTCTTCTTGCATAATCTTCATTTGACATCTTCGATTCATTTGACTTTATAGAGCCAAACACTGCACTGAAATAAAACCTTGCACTTCAGATTTCTCCCCGAGAAGAAAAGCTTTGCCAGCTCTCTGCACTAAAGTTCTTTAGAGTACCCTGTAAATTTGTTTTCCAAGCTGCAACAATGTCAGTCAGTGCTCCAGAAACATCCATTCACCCTCTTTAAATTCAGGTCTTTGTCACTGCATTTTCACTCCAGACATTAATTGCAGTGTGGCTGCATTTATTTCTTAGTTTCAAAGTGAAGATGCTGCTGGAGAGAAAACTGGAGACTTTCTTTCCCATCCAGGAGCGACTTTGTTTCCCTTGCATTAACTGGGAAAACACAAATGCGTGACCTTGTTTTGCTTATACAAACACTCTGCTTGGCATGTAAACATTAAAGAGGGAGGTGAGGGATGCTGAGGAAATACTCATAAAAATAGAAAAAAATGTGCAAGTTGCTGCTGGGAAAAAAACATTTATAGTGCAGCTTTTGGGCCTTGATGGAGACTTTGCCTCTTGGGATGTAACTGCTGGACCCAAGGAGTTGGCGCTAGGTTGAATTGCTCAGTCATTACTTTGTCCTGAGTTCGTGACTTTGCTACCCCAAAGCAAATGGTTTCCAGCTTGGATTTTGCCAGGCTGTCCTGTCTTCACCCAGGTTTACCTTTAACCACAGATCTGCAATGCATAATGAATTTATTTTTTTTTTTTTATTTTTTTTGCCATATTTACCCTAATGTAAATGGGGTTTTAGGTAGCAGTGCCAAATTGCTACTGAGATTTCTTAGATTCCCCCCTCCTCCATTTCTTTGTGTTACTCTCCTGTTCCAAATGATGTTAAACATCTGGCAAAACCCATCCACCTTTGGCTTTTGTAAAGGTCCTGAGTTTTTTGGGATTTTTTTTTTCAGATGTGTCAAATGATAGTTTGAACTTGAGTTTTCATCTATTGGAATATGAAACTCAAGTTGATGGCCTTGGTTTTAGCAGAAGATACATTTTTGGTTAAATTGTTGCTTGGTACAAATGGTAAATTTTTTTTTTCATCTTGGTGAATGTGGGATTTTTGTTGCGGTTTTTTTTTTTCCCCCCAATGGTTTGTGATTAGCAGTTTTAGTTGGAAAACACAAGATTTATAAAGAGACCTGATAGATCAGAGAATTTCTGCTTTAGTTCTTGGTTGATGTAGAGTTTGGCACTTCTTGCTGATGTGAATGTGCACAATCAGTTTGTTTCTTGAAGAAGTGTGGGTAGGAACAGTAATTTTGGAAATGTGGTAAGAGATGGAAAATCCAGAATTCTTGGGTTGATGCTTAGAGGGAATACTTCAAACTTTCTGCCCAGTCTAACAACCTAGTTATTTCAGGTCTAAGAATACTTGGTCAGTAAAAATGGGAGTGGTTTCTCTTGCAAAGACACAAAACTCTTTCACTTTTGATCTATAGCTGATGGAGGAAGGGGGATCTTCTAAAATCGATGAGAGCAGCAGATGGAACTGGTAAAATTGTTTGACTTTGGCCAAGTTCTGTGGGTGACCATGATGGTCACATTTTTGATTGTAGTAGAAGGACAAGTCAAACTGGGCTGTGCCTCTGATGTGGGGGTTCCACATCTGGTGAAATGACTTTCAGAAAGATGAGGGTCTGAATATGATGCAAAAATGCTGTTCCAAATTCACAAGGCTTCAATTCTCTTGGAGGCCATTTAACAAATGTCAGATTTGGTAAATGGTGAGATTTGCTCCAGAGCAAGCCTGGTATTGTGAAGCTGCCCTACGGAAAGTTAAGACTGATGAGTAGTTAAATAAAGAATATTTGCATTAGAGCTTTTTTTGTGTGTGTGTGAGATTAGCACTCTGCAATATCCTGAAATTGCCTGCTGGGTAAATCTGCAGTTCTGCCATCAGGCAATGCCCCCAGCATGTGTGATGCTCTGACACCACAGTTGTGTTGCAGAAGCTTGTTGGAAATTAGTCAGGTGATAGTTTAGTGGCTTTTCATTTTTTCCTCATTAAGGCCTTTCAGGGCTCTCTGATGGCTTTGCTTATTTCGGCAGAATTTATTGAAGGGTTATTTCTGTTCACTGAAAGAAGTTCCTTTGGTTTTTTTGACTACCCTGGGAGCTCTCTTTTAGAAGGGCCTGTTATTTTTGGGGGTAGGTTGTATTCAGCCCCAGCTTGGTGTTTTTAAAAGCATTTGAATGCAATTGGCATCTAGTGAAGGTGTTCAGGAGCTCTGAGCAGCCTGCTCTAGGGGAATTTGTCCCTGCTCATGGGGTGAGGATGGATCTTTAAGGTCCTTTCCAACCCCAGCCATTCCATGGTTTTGTGCCATCCAGTTGGATTTAGATTCCAGTGTTGTTTAGATAACACCAGGCATGATTCTTCAGGTGTCTTTATTGAAATGGTTGTGTGTCAGTAAGGTGAGTCTATTTAAAAAATTGAGGGTTTTTTTAATAGAACAGGAGATTTATTTTTGCCTCACATTACAGTGAGAGCTCCTGAAGTCATAACACAAATCTAAATCACTATGAGGAGTATTTGAAACTAGGACTTCTCAGTACAAGGGAGGCACTTAGAATTAAAATACACCAGTGGAGTTGAAGAATTGGAGCTGTTGGGGACTTTTTTAACTGCAGGGATGCTTTGGGGCTGGGGTGGAGGGCACAGACTGACCCTTCTCAGTGTGCAGGGGGTCCTGAGTGCTACACAGTGACAGCTTGGCATTAGGAAGAGCTGGTGTTTTTGGGGCAGTGGACAGCGTTATTGTGTTAGCAGGGTTGTGAGAGCATTTAGAAATGAGCTGTGTAGGTAGAGCCTCACAGTCAGGGCTCCTCTGTGGCAGGGTCACTTGTTTGGGTGACACCGTGACAGCATTTGGAGCCTCCTGGCTCAAGGAGGGGACCCTCTGCTGTGGAGAGCTTGAGCCTGATCTGGGTCCTGCTTTTGTGTGCCATAAACTTTTGGAATTTTCTTTAGTCACAGGATTGTTCTTTTATTCTTACTCTGATTTTATAAGCTTAGTATTTTCTTAATTTTGTCCTTTAATTTATCTTCTGCGTGCTGATGGCACTTGGTAGCTCAGCAGGTTGGAGATAAACCCAGTGGGTCCTTGTCAGGCTCTGCTCTCTGGGAATGCTGGTTTTCCCAACCCTATTCTCAACCCTAAATTAAGATGGGTTTGGAATTCTTGCTTGGTAGGGAATACAGCAGTTTCAGCAGTTCTTTAATCATATCCAATGTGTGTGTTTAATTCCAGAGGCCGCAGCAGTGGCAAAGGACCACCTCAGCCTACGGTAAGTTTGTGGTTTCTCTTCTTTGTGCCAGTGCAGAGCAGAAGGAAACAAAAGAATGGCAGATACTGGAATATTCTCTCCATTTTTTCCTTGGGATGCCATGGTGGGTGGATACTTTAGAGTGAGATACAATTTTCTAAAGAGTAGCATCTCACCTTCATTTAAGTCTCCTAGGAGGGTGAAGGGGGGAAAGTTCACTTAAACTTTTGACTGCACTAATATAAATATTCTGCATTTTCTTGCAATTACAGCTGTAAATATAAATAACATTTAGCTTAAGGCATTTTGAATTAGTTTCTATCTGAAAATTCTAACATTGGCTTCTCCCTTAAACAGATGACAGTAAGGCAGCATTTAATGAAATAAAAATAACTACTTTGTTTAGCTTTACCCTAAAATTGCTGAATTATTCTCAGCAGCTCCAATGTGCAGCTTTAGTTGTTCTCATGGCTGTGTATTATTGGAGTCTAGATGTGGCTTGACTTGCAGAACATCATTTTATCAGAGCTAAATAAATGGATCTCGATTGAAAGAGAGAATCTTTGAACTTCACTAATCAAATATTTGTCAATTTGTTGCTGGCCTGGTTTTTAAAGATGCCTATTTTTGGGGAATGGAGCAGAAGCAGGAAGATTTAAAAGGGCTGCAGTTTGCTTACATAAATGTTTATTGAAGATACCAAGACACTTGAGGAAAATTAAAGAAGCTTTGAGGAAAACTGGTGGAAAAGGTCATAGGCAAACACTAAACATCCCCAAATTTTGGTCTGTATGTGCTGTGCACTGAGTGCTGAACACAGGAGTGTCCCTAAATTTGTTTCAGCCCAGAAAAGTGGCTGACAGTTAAAAATACGTTGTCAGTTCAAAAACTCAGAGTATGGTGAGATCCCAAGAGCTCTTTTTATCATTTCTTTACAAACACAAAGAGATACCAAAGATATTGCAACAAAACACCTGCACTGAGGTGAATGTGTCCTCCAGCAGCCTGGGGACACCTGCCCAGCTCTCCCAGCCAGGATTGCAGGTCCTGGTGCTGCACTGAGTTACTTTGGGCTAAATTAATGACAGGGTTTGTGGCAACTTAGCACTCCACAATTTAGCTCCTGTTAATGTGTGTAATCAGGGCTGGGAGATGAAAGGATGAGGTTGAGCAGGCCTGAAAACACCTTTTTGCTTCTGCAGCACTGCAAGTGCCTTATTCTCTTGATGGTTCTTAAACCAGCAGGGCTTTTTTTTTTGTTTAAAAACAAAAGCCCTGCTGACATCCCTCAGATCTGTGCATGCACAGATCAGCTGCACCCAACCAGCCAGAGAATTTCCTTAATGGAGAGACATTAGGGGCTCTCCTGGGATTTTTAGCTTGTTTGGGAGGGTGTTAGATGTTTAACTGGTCAGAGAAAAATCAGGAGCCCTCTGAAAATCTCCTCTGGCATGTTTAATATTAATATGCAATAATAAACATTCCATGTATCTTGCCTGAGTAAGATTTTTGCCCAAGGTTTCTGTGGTTTTTCAGTGTACTGATGAAAGCCTGGGTTGGGTGTTCTGGCTTTTGGAATTTCTTCAGTGTTCATGATGGCTTTCTTATTTTTCAGATTTCCTTTGATGGCATCTATGCAAACATGAGAATGGTTCACATACTCACATCAGTTGTTGTAAGTCTTCATATTTGGAAGAATATTCCTGTAGTGACAGGGAATTGTTAACTAATATAAAGATGTGAATATTAAACTTTAAACACTTTTTGCCAAGGTTGAGCTTTAAAGGATCATAGAATTTTTAGGAAAGGTTTGACTCTAATTTGCAGAGGTACAGCAGATTTCTTAGGTGGACTGGTTGTATTTTGAATTTCCTGCCTTTAGAGAGATTCTGGATAAATAAAATGAGTCAATGTGCAGGGATTAGAAACCTTTCTCCCAAGATTTTAAGGGAAGCCCTGACATGGCAGAATGAAGTGAGACAGAGTGTCCCACATCTGCTCAAGGCCAGGATAAGCTTTTATCCTTATTTGTACCCACACAGACACAGATTTGAGGTTTACACAAAACCTGATTTGTGTGTTTTCACTGGTCAAGAGTCTTGAGAGAACCAAATATTCTCCAGTGAGCATCTTAAACCCCTTCAGAACTGTCCATACACACCCAGCTGTTTGAATTTGCAGAGCACAGCAGTGTATTTATAAATGGGCAGATGCTGAATGAGGACATTTGGCTAAAAACTGAGCTGTATTTTTACACTTTAGACTTATGTAAAAAACAAATGTTTAAGAAAATCACTGTAATGTTATTTGTCATCTTGGTAGAGAGTTATATTTTCATTTTTCTTCCATTCTAGGGATCCAAATGTGAAGTACAGGTGAAAAATGGTGGTATATATGAAGGAGTTTTTAAAACCTACAGTCCTAAGGTAATTTTTTACAGTTTGACTCTTCCCTATCATGAAAAATCCTAATACCAAATAACCAACATTTGATTAAAATTTGAATATTTACCGTGAATTATTTTTACTGTTCATGCCTAGATTTACACAAACAGATTGTAAATACCTAGTTTTTTGCAAATATGGGAAATTTTTTGGGTGGGGGATGACTAAAGCAGTGCCTTGTGTTTGTATTTCCCACAGTGTGATTTAGTGGTTGATGCTGCTCATCGTAAAACTGCAGAATCCAGTTTGGGGCCAAAACGGGAGGACATCCTAGAGAGTATCTTGTTCAAGTCTTCAGACTTTGTTATGGTGCATTTTAAGGATATGGATACCAATTATGCCAGAAGAGGTATATTTGTTTTAATTTTTTAAATTTTTTTTTTTTATGTTTTAAGATTATAATTCAAATTCTTTCAAAGTAGATGCTTTAGGATCCAAATATTGAAGTTCATGTTTAGATTCTTAATTCTTAAAAAATGCAAAACTTCAGCACCTCCTGAAATCAGAAATTTATAAATTTAAAAAAAAAAAATAGTAATTTTTACTAGTTGGTTTGTTGGTTTAGTGGTTTTACAGCTTTAGTGGTTTTACAGAATATTTTATAGATTTTATGGGAGGTAGAAACATTTTTTGTAAATGTCTTTGTAAATTTCTATGTTAAGTGTTATACAAGAATGACTGAATACAGAAACTCTTTGGAAAAAGATTATTTCTCAGAGTTGAGATATATAGAGTCTATTCTGAGGTAACTTCTGTGTCTAAACATGCATTCATAGAAATATTCTAGAAATACTCCTGCAAACAAAGAAATTTTTTTTTAAATTCTCTATTTGTATTTTAATTTCTCCTTTACATCTTTTAGACCTGTAGGTAAAGCTATTCAAAATACAGAGAGGTGACAGACAAGTCTTAAATTCTTGAAGACATTGAAACTGCTCAAATTAAACAATTTTGCAGGCAGTCTTCATACCTTTAATGTCTGACCTCAAAGCCCATTATTATTTTTCTGGAACCTAAGTGCTCCTGAGTCAGTTCTATTCCTTTGCAGATTTCTCTGGGTTTTTTGGGCAGAAAATCTCCAGAGTCTTTATGTTTAATGTTGCTGATTTGCTGGGATAAGGAATAAAAGGAAATCCACAGGTTTTTATGGCATGGGGTGAAATTGTCTCTGTGTACATTTACAGGTTGATTAAGAGCTGTCACAGCAGCTCAGTGGTTATTGGAACACAGGTTTTATTCCCATTAGCAGGGACTTAGAGATGTGTAGGGACCTGAGGACATTTAATGAGAATTTCTCTCTTCACCTTGTGTTTTGTTCTTGCCTGATTTAAAGCTACAGAATGAGAGGTTTGTTGTTTCAAGGAATTTTTGCTTTTCCCAGATGATGATGCATAATGTCAGAGCAAATGCAGCATTGAAATGCAGATAAGTTCCAGGTTCTGGATGGGACTGGGAATTTAAATTACATGAGAGCTGTTTTGTAATGGGTTTGGTATGAACATCACTTTAATGTAAATGCAAACTGGGCTCTCCCTCACCCAATCTTTATAGATTTTCAGCAGACTGAATAAGGAATATACTACTGCTTCTAGGAATAATTGCTCAATGGACATTTTCTAAAAGAAAATGACTGTTTCAGGTTGAGCAGTCCCTCAGTTCACTTTATTAGGTGGAATGACTGAGTCTAAATCTCTTAATACTGGAGAGCTGAAATAAAGCCATAAAGACTTGGAGCAAGATAAACTGGAAGGCTGCAGAACTTGATAACTCAGAGTGGGTGAATTAATCTGCTTTCCATTTTGTCTCAGAAATACATTATCTGGAAATGACACTTGAAAGTGTAACCCAGTCTCTGATCACACCTCCAAATTAGAGCAATGAGGGGCTTTCTGCTTCCTCAGAAATTAAATAAGCAAAGATTCAAAAGGCTGGAAGTTTATGAATGTGCATGGAGGAACTGCTGGCCTTTTTTTCTTGTAAATAAACCCAGATCTTCGTGGTGCTGGATGATTTAGAGTGGAAGCTGACTCTGAACTCCTGCCTGAGGACTTGGTGCTCCTTGTTTTGGGAATTGTCTCTGCTTGGTGCTCTGGTTACACTTACCAAGGAACAGAGACTTTTAAATTGTCTAACACTCAGAAGTCTTTTGCTTTCACAGACAAATGAGGAGAATTTGGAAATACTTGGTGGAAAGGCTTTAAAATCATAGTCAAATAAAAGGGCTTTTCACTAGCTCTCCTTTGGGAGGCTCACCTGGAGTGGGGATGTTGAGGTCTCATGATCCTTGTGGTCCTTTCCAACTCAGAATATTTTGTGATTCTCTCTGTGTAGTTTCTACCCCTGTAAGAGGCTTCTAGACTGTTGTGGAGCCCTTGAACTAAATAAATTTCTGCAGAAGATACTGGGTGGAAAATTTTAATGCATCCTGGTCTCCCAATTCAGTATAAGTATCTGTGGATTTTATTCTGGCATTTATTCCCTGCAGGGCTGGAGGAATGTGGGAAAATGGACTCCTGGCTGTGGGTTTGGATCTTCTGCTCCACCCTCAGGTTTGGGTAGCAGAGATGTTCTCTGGGTTATGAAAAAGGGACTGGAAGAGGAATGGGAAAGAGCAGCAGCTGAGGAGAAAGGGAATGGGATGGAGTCTCCTTTCAGAAGAAGGAAAATAGAGTTGTGTGTGAAAAGCCTCTGCCAGAGCCTGCCAGGCAGCTGCCAGTGCTATCACAGCCCTGCAGCTTTGGGGCAGGGAGCTGATAACCCAGCCAGAGAGTTCAGGGGAGGGAACACCAGTGCAGGCCTGGGGGGTGGAACTGGGAGCAGCACACGTGGGTTGGTGCCAAGCATGACACTGCACCTTCAGAGGCACCCATGGAGAAAGCCTGGGGTCTGCCCAGATTGTGGAAATTGGGAGGGTTGGGAGAAAAATTGGTAGGTCTGTGCAGAGAAGGGTGTTGTGGCTGTGAATGTTCAAAAAAATCGATGTGTCTCTGCTTGCTGGGCTCTTATTTGCAGCTCTGTCAGTCTGCACAGACCTTGCAGCTCCTGCAGGCTCTTGTTTGGCTTCCAGAGGAATGGGAGGGAGTCACCTGAGGGTCTCTCTCTGTGGAATTGTGGTTTGCTGCAGTACAGGCAGGCTGATGAATGAAACATACACTGGGAAGCTCAGGTGAAGCTGTATTACACCCATCATCCCCCTTTCAGACTGTTCTGTCTGCTTTTAAAGAGGGACTGACACTGATTTCTCTTTGTGCAGTGGAAATCAGCTGCTAAAAACCCATTCTCAGTGCAGGCTGAAATCCTTGGCTGTACATTAATATTATCACATCTTTCTGCTTCACCTTTGAGTGCTGAGATCTTGCTGCTGCTGGGTGATTTGAGCTCCTGATTGATGCAGGAGGTTCTGTTTCTCCTGATTCTACACAAGAAGTGTTTCCTGGAGCCCTGAGCACTGATCAGTCCACAGAGCTGGTTTGATGGGATTCAGATTTCAGTAAGGCTTTGGAGTTGCCTTCTTGGCTTCTCTTTAAAGACAAGACAATTCAAACATCATAACTTACTGGTAAAGTAAAAGACTTCTGCAATGTTTTTATTGTTTTTTGGCATGCTGAGGAAAATCCTACAAATCCAATGAAAAGAAAGGCAGAGGAGAATTGGCTATTTAAGTTTTTCCTTGAATTAGCTCTGAAAGTGGCATCCTTCCAGAGAAAGTGTTGCAAGGGGAATAGCAGAAGGCATCTTATGAACAAAGGAAGGAAATGTTGGCTCTGCAGAGCCGGTGGTAACTGGTTTTAATGTTTCAAATCAGTAGTAAGTAGTTACAAAACAAATCAGAGTTTACTGTTGAAACCTTTAAGGCGAAATCTCAGTTTTCTTTGACTTGATCAAAGCTTCAGTGAGTGGCATCAGCACCTTTGGCACGTAACACTGATTGGTTTAATGGCATTTCAGCTGCAGACTGGCACTTAATTGCACATTTGTGCTCTTCACCAAAATCTGTTTGTGAAAACAAGCATGTTAGACATTGAAATTAATTAAACCAGGACTCTTAATTGCTCTGTTCTGGCACTTTGTTCTTTAACTCATTTAGTAGCACACACTTGAAGAATTTGCCCCAGCTGAGTTTTTCGTAGAATGTGCCTTTTTAATTTGTCTTAATATGAATTTCCATTGCATAGAGTTCTCCTTGGGATTTTTTTTCATTTATGAACAATGATTTCATCATTTTTTACCAGGTTTTAAAGACGAGGTCTTTGATACCCAACTCCTCTGCTTAGGAAATGTCACCTTAAGCAGATACAGAGGCACTGGGGGCTAATTGAGTGTTACAGCCTCAGCCCCTTGTTTCCATTTGATCTTTACCTCAGGTTTTGCCATGTAGAAAAGGGATTGATTAAAAATTTGGCCTTGTCAAGGTGTCATGTGAATTGCTCACTCAACAGCTCAGAGATAAGAGGCACCAGATAAGGGGGAAGCTGAGCCTGTGCAGTGTCTTGTCAGTTATTGCTCTGCCAGTCAGCTCATGCTTTGCCTTCTACTTTATTAATCATCTTAAGAGCCACATTTTTTTGTTTTGGAAGCTGTCACTTTTAGATTTTTTTTACATTCTTTCTCAATTTTGTTGCTGATTAATTTTGGTAGAGGCTTTGCTGGGCTTTTAATTCTGGTCTCCCATGTGCCTGCCCTGCTGTTCCAGGAAAATACTGATCTGTGCCTTGAGGTACCATCCTGCTGCATTTAAACTTTGCCTGGATGCTCTTGAGACCACATTGTCTGACTGGGAGTGCCTTTGTAGCTTGAATTTCTCCTGTCTTTGGATTTTCTCTGAGTTGTAGAGGTTAAAGGGGCACAGTCTCACTTGTGACTTTCATTGTAAAAATGAGAGAGGAGCACAGAGCAGTGGAGCTTCCTGTGGCCTGTGAAATACTGGATTTACTGGGAAACTTAGCAGTGGCTGCACACATCCTACTCAGACCTGTAGCACTTGCTGATAGTGGAGTTTTTGTTTTGACTTGGGTGTTTTTTCCATCTGTATCATTACAATAACAGCGCTTCTGAATGTTTATGTGGCTGTTTAAATAAGAAAATTAGTGGGTTGAGTAGATGAGTCTTGTTAAGCTGGTATTTTATTCACAGTATCCAAAATGGCACAGTTGTGTGGAGTTTGCCTGGAGGAATTTAATAGAAATTAAGGAAACACCCTTCTGAAACACAAATCACCTTCATCAGGTGCTGCCATCAGGCTCCTAATTCATATTTATCTAATCTCACTGGAGAGGAGCTCCCTCCACTCCCAGAGAAACAAATAAATTTCAGTTTTCTTAAAGATATAAACAGCCTTCAACTTGGATTTGGTGTAAAATGTCCCAATCTGAGCAGAAATAAAATGTGGAATTAATGATGTTTAGGGCAGGAGCAACACTGGTTTATATGAGTTAAGCCATGGGATATTGATAAGGTAAATGTAGACTTTCCATTCTTAAAAATTCTTACAAATGTGCTCTTTAGCTACTACTTAACTATGAGTTGTAGCACTGTGTTCCTGTGTAGTTTCAGGCAGCATCTGAAGACCCAGGTACAGTATATATTACAATAAATTATATTTTAAAAGCTGTTTGTGTGAGCATTTCATGGCTGTTATTAGAGAGACCAAGCACAGTGAATTTTTATCCACTATATGTGCAGAATTGCACTGTGAGCTTGGGTAAAACAGGAATAATAAGCAGTGTCAGCAGTCTCTTTAAAACATCTTCAGTGATTGTGTAAAAGCTGTTACATCAGTGGCCAACTTCATATGTTGGGAATTCTTTTCATAATAACTTTAAAGTTCATTTTATTTTTTTTTTTTTTAAGGCAGATTTTTAGATCTTGCCAAAAGTTAATTCAGGCCATGTTTTTCCTGATCTGGCACTGCCTGGTGGTTTGATTTCATCTTTTCTAAAGGTCTGAAATGTTTGCTCCTTATTTTATCAGTAGAATGATGATAGGAAATTCTGGATTGAAGACTTATTTATTTAAGGCTGATTCATTTATTTGTGAGCTTATAACGAGCTTATTTGATTTTTTTAAAGTTCTGTATGTAGTTCTGAGATCCAGTTTCTTACAAGTCTGAAAGCTTGACTTCCTTGGTGAATGGCTTTAAATACATTTTCACAGCACTTGTAATACTCTGGTATTATTCCTTCTTAAATCTGGCTCGAATGAAACATGAACGAGTCAAAATAAATGTTTGTGATCTTTATTCTTTGATGTTTTTATAATTTTTTACAAACAATAGAAGAAGCTTACTGGTTATTTATTCTCTTATGTTGTTGAGAACAAAAAGTAGAGAGTTCCTGAATTTTTTTGTGTGATTTGGATAAGCTGTTGCTTGGAAAAATTCTGGCAGGAGAGGAGACGCCTCTGTTCATGTCACAGGAAATGGGAACACCAAGCTGATGGATAATTGCTGTGTTGGTATGTGAGGAGTTGTGCAAATAGAAGAAATTTGAATATTTGAAAGGAAAATCGTATTTTTCCCATTTAGGGAGTTGCTTTCCTGCTCTTTTGGTATTTTCACACTGTTGTGTGGGCTGGTTGGAAAAGAATTTTACACAAGTCTTGGGTTTTCTAGAGGAATAAGGATCCTTGTGTTGTCCTTTTTTCCCTTTTTCTACATGTAGTTGCAGAAAATACTTTGAAATAACTGAAATTAATTCTATCTTCTGATATGGGAGAAGTTATTCTGTACTTTCATAGTTACTTTAAGTCTGGAATAGGCACCTTTCTGACATCCAGCAGCTCCAAGAGAAGGGAAGGATGATATTGTGCCCTGTGATTCAGCTGTGTTTGGGCTGTTCCTCAGATAAAAACCAGTGTGCCAACTTACCCAAACTGGTCTCACTGGTCCCATCCCTCCCCACTCTGTTGCAGATGCTTTTACTGATTCAGCCATCAGTGCTAAAGTTAATGGAGAGCACAAGGAGAAGGATCTGGAACCATGGGATGGAGGAGAGAACACGGCTTCCGAGGAGCTGGAGGCACTGGAGACAGATGTCGTAAGTGATGCTTTTTATCATCTCTGGCCATCAGTAGAAAATGAGCTTTTTCCCTGGACATGCCTTGAAATAATTCTTTAATTTCAATCTAAGTAATAAACTTTGGAGGAGCAAAATTGCTATCCTGCATTTTGCTGGTGGATGTTCAGTCTTTGCCAGCAGCTGCCACAGCCCTTTGGAAGGATCTGAGAATAGCTGCCTTTCAAATGGCACTTTTGGCAAATTCTGACCAATGGCAGCTGCTGTGGTAAGAGCTGTGTTGGATTCCTGGACCCAAAGAGCAGCTTTTGTTAAGGACTCCAAATCCAGCAATGCCCCAAAGTGATTTATGTTTAATCAGGGCCTTCCTGTCTGACTGTCACTGCACTTGGAAATTATGGGGAATATTGTGCTCAGCTAAGTGTCCCTGGGCTGCAGATGGAGGGAATTGATGGAAGCCTGACCCAAGCACAGGGACAGTCTCAGATTATGAATCATTAGATGAAGAATATGGCCTCAAATGCCATGTCCTCATATATCACTGCAGTCAGCTTTTCCTCAAGCAGAAATTCTTGTAGCCAGGTATTCAGCCTGCAGTGTGCTCAAGGAGATAATATTACTGATTAGAGCATATTAACTTTGGGTAGAACAATTCTCCTGTCAGTTTTGGTGTCCATACTGTAGAGCTGAGATTTATTGGAATACTCTCAGTGCTTTTATAAAATACTCAAAGCATTTATTGTTGTGCTTGAGTGCTGTAGTAGCAATTTTACTGAAGTGGGGGAGTTGTGCAGATCAACAGGAGTCTTCTGCCTGTGGTGCCTCTCAGGTGATTCCATCAGTGCTTTTGAAAAATAGCAGAAGTGTTAATTTGCACTTTTTGGAAAATGAAAAAAAATATATTAATATATGTATGCCTTGTTAGCCAGTAGTCCTCTAGTACAGAGTGAGCATGTACTTAAAAAAATCATAAAAACAATGCAAAGACTCACAACAAACAAAGAAAAAAAAAAGAAAGGGTTTTGAAGGTAGAATCTGTGCAGCTGATGAACAAAGCTCCCTGAAATGAACTGTGGCATTAATAACTTTGTTATCTGGACAGTGGATTCATAGGCCCAGGAAAAAGGGCAGAAGGTTTAACTTCTGCCATCAGCCCTTAATTTGAAGGGAATGTGTTTTCAGTGTCATTTTGAAAAACAAGCATCATTTTCTTCTAGTCTAATGGATGGGATCCCAATGACATGTTTCGTTACAATGAAGAAAATTATGGTGTAGTGTCAACTTATGACAGCAGTTTATCTTCTTATACGTAAGTTCCTAAATATTTTGTTATTAGATTTGTATTGAATGTTCTCCCTGGTTTGACAAACTTTATATTCTGCAGCTAATTTTGCATAGTTTCTGAAGTTGTGGAATCGAATAACTGCAAAAGCAATGAATGAATGGTGCTTAAGAAACCTTGCCAGCTTTCTGTGAATAGTTAGATGTAGAAATCTTTATATATTCCCTTAAATGGGCACAGCTCATTCCCATTGCAGAGTTTTCTGAATTTAGCCATGCAATAAGGCTTGTTTCTTGCAGAAACTTCCAGGAATAGGATGGAAAGCTGTGAATTAATCTGTGTCTAGCTGCTATACCTATAGCTTTTGTTTAACCTAGCAGAGCAGTTTGGCTAAATCCTGATTTTATTGAGACAATTGATCTGGAAGATACTGGAATGCTGAAAAGCTGCTGATAACCAGGGTGGGGGTTGTGTGCTGGGGATGGCTTGTACAGCAGACTTGTCCAGCTCTAAACTGAAGTTTTAGTTAAATATAATAACAACTGGAATATAGAAGTAGTGTAAAGGCTGCTCTGGCTACTCTGGCAGTGATTTATTCCCCGGGGTCTGCAGCTATAATGTTCACTGCATCTGCAACACAAATGGACTGCAGATGTTCAAGCCATTGTGAAATGGCTTCAATATTTCCCCACTCTTTTAACCCCCAAAGCAGAAACTTGGGTTTTTTTGAATATCAAGGAATGGCAGTGAATATTTTGATTTTTTTTTTTGTGTGTATGTGTGTACACTTGTCTACAGGTCTCTGGTTCAACAATCTGATTCCTGTTTTGTACAAATGGACCTGTAACATGGTGATAATCAAAGTGTCCTAATCGGCTTATGTTTGAATCCTGGGGAAGCTGTTCTTTCCTTCCCTTCACTGCTCTAAGTACTTTTTGTACTTTTGAACTTTAGTCTTCCATCTTTCTGCTTTCTGGATATTAATGGAAACAGATTAAAAACACGAAGGTGGCTTTAAATGAATTCATTTTTTTTCCCCCCCCCAGTCAAGCAACTTGCTTTGCATATCAGTCTGCTAAACTCTTCTCCTGATTTTCCAACTCTGGGATGAGCAGCAGTGTAGTTAAATGCTTAGATGTGCAGCTGAAGGATTGTAAAGGATTTACTGTTTGATTGTTTTCTCTTCCTAGAGCTAAGCAGTAGCAGGTATAGTTTGTCAAACCACATCAAGGTACAAGTTTGTGTTGCAGCAAATGTATTGATCATCACCAGGGTTCTGAACAATGCCATCTCATCCTGTCCATCCCCTTTCTCTCATCTTTAATGGCTTGTTAGAAAACATGAAATCATTCCCTGCCTCTTTAGGTTGCCATACATCCTTCAGTTTTTGCACTCACTTTAAATAAATGAGGATTATTGGCAGTTCTCTTTCATTGTGTTGTTAACAGAGGGGCCTGGGACCAGGTTTGCATTCTTGTAAATCTTATTTGAGCCAGGCCTTTATGCTGAAGGGTTTTATTGAATATTTTTGCAGTTACCCTTGATAAGGCCAGTAAATGTTTTGACTGGCCAAAAATGGGGGGAAAAACTTGTGCTGCAGTAACTGAGTGCTGGCTTGGAATTTGGCAAAGCCACTTGTTTTCCTCGTTCTGCCACCAACACTTGAGCAATTTTGCATAAATTATTTTATACCTGGCTTGTATCTCCACATACTTTCTTTGTGTTTCTTCTTTATATTATTCAAAATACGGGCAGTAGTGATTCTATAATGCCCAGCAGAGCACGGGCCAAGCCTCAGCTCTGCTCCATATTTTTATGTAGTTTATTCTGAAGTAAGTAAACTTTTGCAACCTGAAGTTAAAATCAGGCTAAAAAATAAACCTGACACAAAAATTAGGGCAGGTAAACCCCAAAAATGGGTGGCAGAAGGAGGTGCCAGGTATGATCCCATCCCTGGCTGGGTTTTTTCAGTGTTTCAGTGCTCTCATACTGAATTTTGACTCGGTGGCTTTCCTAAGGGATGATTTTTGCAATATTCCATTGCCTGCCATAGAGAGAGACATGGAATGGATGGGATTGAGGTCCTGGCACTCACAGATGAGTCAGGGATTTCTGGTCCTGTGCTCTGAAGTGTTGCATCCATTTTTTCTGCAGTTCTTCATAACTGGGAGAGCTGAAATCCAGTGGCTGGAATTATCAGAGAATTAAGGATGTCACTCTCTAATTTCACTAGGATTGTGTCTGCTGGCAATGTGTAAATAGCTAAAAAAAATTCAATTTTGGGCTCTTGGAGTAGCTTCCTATGTAAACAGCAGTCTGAGGCTTTTTATTCCTGGTGTTCTCAGCCATGTTAAAAGTTGGAGCCTTTGCACAGCTTTAGGGACTGGGGATTTTACAAATCCTGTGGAAAAGTTTTGCACCCTAAACTCAGCTCTCTAGGCAGGTAAATGACCCTGAATACATCCATAATATCATACCAGTCCAGGAATTTTGTATTTAAAAGAAGACAGCAAGTCTACTGGCTTAGAAGCAAGGTTATTTTTTTCACTCTGACTCGGTTAGAACTAACACTGTGTGATTTTTGTAGCTCCTTTCTGCTTTTGAATGCATTTCAGAGATTCTTTTCCTTTCCATTGTCTTTTTAGGGTGCCATTAGAAAGAGATAATTCAGAAGAGTTTTTAAAACGGGAAGCCAGAGCAACTCAATTAGCAGAGGAAATTGAATCAAGTGCCCAATACAAAGCTCGGGTTGCCTTGGAAAATGATGAAAGGACAGAAGAAGAAAAATATACTGCTGTTCAGAGAAATGCTAATGAAAGAGAAGGACATGGTGTGAACACTAGGTACTTGAGTACACTATGAATAGTATTTTTATTTAAATTATGGAGGTATTTTGGTACTGTAGCAGTTTACTCATTGATACTGGGCTTTTTCAGCAGGCCTGATTAGGTTTGGAACCTTGTGTAAACAATCCTGTGCTGGTTTTGGCACTCAGGCTGACTTGGACACCCCTGCCTGGCCCTGTATTATCTCTGTAGTGAAACAAACTTCCCCATTCTGACCTGTCACCGTGGTGAATTTGTCCCAAATTACAGGAAGGGGCAGTGGTTTCGGTGTGTCCTGGAGAATTTCAGGCATTACTGCTAAATCCTTCGGTGCCTGTAGGCTCATAAAGTGGACTGTGTGGCCACTATCAAAAGCCAATTCATGAGGTGACTGTTGGGTCAACATCTGATACTATTTGGATTTTTCCCCTTGGCTTGATGGGAGAAAAAGAGAGAAAACGGGGTGCTTTTTGTTGCCTCTGGGTTGTGTTCTCAACACTGATAGAAATTTGCTGTGTTTCAGAGAAAATAAATACATTCCACCTGGACAGAGGAACAGAGATGTGCTGTCCTGGGGAAGTGGAAGACAAAACTCACCGAGGATGGGCCAGTCTGGATCAGGCCCGCCAATCTCAAGGTCTGGATCCCACACTTCAGAATTCAGCCCTAACTCTGGAGCAGATCAAAGAGTAGTTAACGGAGGCAAGTATCTGAAATCTGAATGAATGTACCTCGTAACACTGCAGAGAATCACCTCGTTGTGTTGAAAAGGTGTGGGATTAGGTTGTGTGTTCCATAAACCAGGTTAGCATTCATCATTTAACACAGAGGTTGTGAGTTGGATTTGGGCTTAATTTACAATGTACCACACTGTCTGCGGCTTTGCAGAGCAGAAATGTCATTTATTTTCCTCCTCAAACACCTTTGTCTTAGATGATGGTGCACTGTGTGGTTTTAAAGATGAAAAACTGCATTGGCACTGCAAAGCTCTGTGTGGAGGAGCAGCAGTGCTGACACCTGGTGAAAGGCAGTGGCAGGAGGAAGCTTTCCTTCCTTTCTGGAAAAGAATAAAGCCACTTGCTGACTTTATGAAAATGGGAGGGGAAGCAAGAACAGTGTTAGAGAAAAGGAATCCAAAGCCTTCCCTCCAAATGGGTATTTGAGTATTTTCTGCTGGACACATGGGTAGTATTTCTAACCAGGCATCAGTAGGCACTGCATGGCAGGAATTGGTGTCCCAGAAGCCAAACACCATTTCTGGAGATGGGTTTCAGCAGTGGCCTGTCCTCAAGACATTATTTGTAGAATTAAAAAAAATGTTATTATAATAAATTTCTGTGAATACATGAAAAATGTATAATACTCAAGTGATCTATCTGGAGAGGAAGTCTGAGAAGCATCTAAAGGTAAGTGAGACTTCCTTTCTAAAGCCAGAGTCAGCTGTATAAAGGATGGACAACTAAGCCTTGCCCAAACAATGCTAACCTTGAAATTTGTCTGTAGTATTTGTGGTTTCTCTCACCCTATTACTCTGCTGAATCATCATAGACCTAAAATACTCAGAATGGCTTGTAAATTCAATTAATTCTGCTTTGGAAACCATGAGCCCTATATCCTAGATTAAAATCCTCCATTAATACCTCAGATAAGTGATAAAGGCATAAATGTCAGGATTCAGACACTGAACACCGCTGGTTTTTGTAAAGATCCAGCTCCTAGATGGATATTTGCTCATCATTTGGTTTGAAAGTAGCAGTTTGTGTGGTCAGTACTGTTTGTGAACAGCTGTTTGAGAACCTCTGGTAGCTGTTAAGGACCTTGTGGAGTGCTGGGTGCTGTGGAGCATTGGTATGCCAGGCTAACAGATCAAACTTTACTGTCTATTCCTTAGTAGTGTTTGTAGATCCTAATTAACCCTTTGGGGAGCCTGTGACATTCACAAGTTCAATTTGACCCAAAACCAAGGCAAACCCAACCCTGCAGAGACTTTATCTCCTCAATTACCACCTCAATCCATCCCCAAAGGGTTAAACTGTGGAGAAGAAAAA